CGAGTTTAAATCGAGTCGAGTTAAATATTTAACTCGACTCGAATTTGGCTTGACTCGCAAATCATCGAGTCAAAAAACACTAACTCAACTTGATTTGAACTTGACTCAGCTTATCTGACTCGTGAGTTAACTCGACTCGTCCAGAACTCTAATACTTACTAAGATCTAAAATTGAAGCTCTGACATAGATTGGCTTATTTAGTACAACATTCGTCTGCTTTCGGTGTACTGCTATAAGATTACTTCCATGAAATATCTTACGACTAACTAGTGCTGGATCTGCCAACATTTTGCGAAGTTGATGTTCCTCTCCTATTGGTCGTACTAAATCTACCTATGTATGACGTTGGACATCTTCCATAGTTTTTCCGAATACTGCATTGTTCATTAATTTCCATAGATCTTTTTCAAAGGCATTTTTAGCATCACAACGTCGCATAGTGTTGGCCATAATATATGGCTCCATCTATGGAGACTGGTCAAATTCTAGCACTCAATAAATATGCTCGAGTTCCATTCCTAGTTCGAGACATTGCTAAAGATTTTGATAATGAATAATATAGCGATCTTTAGTCTCCAATGTTGCTACCAATTTTTCTGTCTCGGCAAATTTACCCCACTCAATTTATCAATTAAGTCTTTTTGATGAGTACTAAGCTCATTACACTTAACTATTCGACGTTCTGGGCAAAGCGGATAGTCAGTATGTGTTGGATGAATGTGATCCAGATATTTTAATTTTACTTCCCAAGTACTATCTCGTTTAGCAGTTAGAGAAATAGACTGAATATCAGGTAGTTTGTCTAGCTCGAGCCATCGAAATCCGCCTGTCAATAAATATTGTGACATAGCCCATCCGTATAAATTATTAGCATCTAAATATAGGAGCCATTTATTTGCCTTATATTTATTATAGCCTTTCATTCTGGGAAAATTTGCTTTTGCTAAACGTCGTGGAGCTATAGAATTTTCACCTCGCATCCAGCGTTGTATGAATTCGTATATATCTTCTTGCCTTTATAAAATAATTTGAGCTTGATCTTAGTTATCTTTTTTAGCATGTCAAATGCGAATGATGGTAATATTATATAATTCAAAGGGTCTAGTCCGGATACTTCCTTCATTATCGTTCAGAATCGCTAAATTGAGTCCACTAATATTAGAACATTGGTTCTAAGATATAAATCGTGGTAGTCTTCAAATGTCTCACAATTTGCTTCCTTTCATACTTTCTGTGCATGAGCATATTGCTTCTGACTAATGGTGTAAATTTTTTTGTGCTCGCAATCTTCGGCCTCCTTTAAATCTTCTTCCTTACATTTTCCATTGCACTTTTTACCCTTTATTTCATACTTACATTTTTTACAGCCATTTTCATAATAATTCAATCCGCCTAGCACTGTGTTAAATTCTTTTCTTGATGGGAGCTCTGTTCTAGAGAAGCACTCTGGATCATTTAATTCATATGGATACTCACTTTTTTGTGTGACTAGTGGAAGTAAATTCTGAGGTATGCTCTGTGCCATTATTGGAAAACATTTAGCCAATTGCTCTGGAGTCTTTTCTCGACCACGCAAATTATTTGCTACTTTTTCTAATGATGGAAACTGGAATTGACAGGAATCTATAAATTTGATCTGGCCAATTATTATCGTCTTGTAATTTTCCATATTGTCTGCAATTATTTCGATTTTGTTTTCACTAACTAGGCCCAATTCCCGTACTTCATGATGAAAGTCATAATGTTTCCCTCCGTGATAAATTAATGGAATCTTAATTTCGTCTGGCTTTATTCGGAGTTGAAGATTACAGCCACGATGTGCTGGACCACGATATTTTCCAGTGAAATGGTCATGATCTCTAACCTTATTTTTGAAATCTTCTTGTAGCTTTCTTTTACAAAAGTAACATTCGGTCGCTTTTTCGAAATGACTCAGCTCTTCTTTACTCAAGCCTTCTGTACGATACATAGCTTCCGTTAGCTTTTCTTCCGTAGCTTCACATTTGATTTTAACACAGCCATAATGTGATGCGCCTAGGAACTTTCGGGAAGTATCGAAATATTTTACTTTATTATATCGGGTTTCTTGTAGCCTTTCTTCACATATGTAACATCTTATGGCAGACTTATGTAAACGCCAATCACGCTCTGTCATTTTTATTTTTTCAGGGGTACGCAACTTCGGCTTAATAATTTCCTCTAAGTCTCGTTGCATGCTTTCCCATGATTCTGCAATTGAGTTTGGAGTACGTCTTGCAATTTCTTTTACTAGCTTCCCATCCGTTTGGATTAAAGTATAGCCGTAACTATTGGGCTTCTGCTTCTGTAGTTTAACAGTCTTTTCATTGATAATATCATTGTTTTCTATCGAATCACTATCTGCTTCAAGATCCTTAACGAAATAAAATGGAACATTTTCCATGGCTCCATAGTTTTTGAATTTCATGATATGCATTCCCTTTTCGGGGAAGATTTCTCTTTGTCCGGCATTAGGATTATTTCGTCTATGACAATTGTGTTTTATGTGATCTTCGAGTAGATCCATTCTTGTGAATGGGGTAATCAAACAATGACGGCAGAAATATTTTCGCCCATGATACTTATTCCAAGTTCGCATGATCCGATTCCATCCATTTTCGCCATTGATAAGACAGTAATGCGTATTTAGCCCTTCTGGTATGTCATTAATATTATGACGATCTTTGAGGTTTTCTTCTCCTTCAGTAAATAATATTAAATCCACCAAATGCTCTCTTTGATAATTATATTCTGATATGCGGAGTGGATCCAACATCCTAGTTTTCTGCTCTTTGTCATTTTTTTCTGGTGCAGGATAGAACACATTTATTGCATAATTTGGATTATTTTCTTCGAATGTGTCTATATCTCGCAATGTGGCTGGAAAATCTATACCGGTGAAATCTAATACATTATCAAAGCGCCTTAATCTACTAACATCATGAAGATTTCTTGCTCTAGTTCCCTGTCTACGGGCTTCCTCACTAGCTAAATAAGCCTTTAAGCAGACTTCGAAACATCTTTCATCTGTATTTTGTGGATTGATTATTCCTAATTGAGGTTTTGCCCAAATCTTTGGTAAGGCAAAATGTGATCTACCTCGGAGTGGTTGATAAGCGCTTATTTCCAGAAAGATTTTTTTACCGTACTCATAGATCCAGCCCGAATTTTGATTTTGCTTCATTTCATCGATTTTATCTAAGATTTCATGGTATTGTCGTGAGACTGTTTGGTCTATTCTATCCTGGCGTATTATATCTAAAATTTCACTTGGAAACGCTATGTCTTGATCTATTCGGTGTCCAAAACGTTCTCCTTGTATAATCCGATACATATGGGCTATGAGGACTATCTTTGTTTTAACTCCTCCTAATCGTGCTAACTCTCTTCTATAATTATCGCTAATTTGATCTTCTACATCCTCGAACGTGGCTAAAGGATCTTCTCGATATGGAAAAGTTTCTGGAATTAAGGCAAGATAATCGACACATAATGCTTGATCAGAAATTCTTCTACTTTCTACTAATCTTTTCGGGGCTGGATCTTCTATTCTTCGAAATATTATTTTTTCTTCTTCAGCTTCAGATTCATTATCAGATTCAGATTCTGATTCTGATGAAACATCTCCTTCATCGGCGGTCGAATAGACGCTGTCCCCATCTGAGTCCACCTCTTCAGGAGGCTCAGGTAACTCAGGTGGTGTCGGGTCTCCCCAAAAATTTCCAAATAATCGCCCTAGTGCACCGGTTATACTACCAAGTATTCCGCTCATTTTTTCTCAAAG